AGAAACAAAAAAGAAACAAAGGATGTCATTACTGATTTCAGATGAACCCTGGCTGATAGCAAAGAGTACCAGAAAATTGGTTTACGTACTTTATTTTACTGTTTATGCAAAAGCATACTACTGTGTAGATCATAACACACTATGGTCAGGATTGTAAGGTATAGGGATTCAGAACACTTCATTGTACTCACAGGAAACCTGTATGTAGGCCAAGAGGCAGTCATTCAAGCAGAGCAAGGGGCTACTGCATCATTTTCAAAATGAAAGGTTCTCATCAGGGTTGTCTCCTTCCACCACACTCACTCAATCTGTATGCTGAGCAAACAATCCAAGAAACTGAACTGTATTCAGAAGAAGGTAGCATCAGAATTAGAGGAAGACTAACAATCTGCAGTATGTAGATGGCCTAGCTTGGTGAAATCAGAGGATTTTAAGCACTTGTTGATGAAGATGAAAGGCTGAAGCCTTCAGTAGGGATTACAAGTCAATACAAAGAAAACAAAAATCGTCACCACTGGACCAATAGGTAACATAATGATAAACAGCGGAAAGATTGAAGTTACGGGTGATTTAATTTTACCGGAATCCACATTCATTGTTCATAAAAACAGCAAGAAAGAAATCACAGGATATACTGCATTAGGCAAACCTGCTGTAGAAAAACCTCTTTAGAGTGGTGGTTGGGGATGGAGGAAAAATGAGGAGCTGATAGCAAGGCTCAACTAGAAAGACAATGTTTTGAGAATGATGATGGCAACATATGTACAAATGTGCTTGACACAATGAATAGATGTATGGATTGTGATAAGAGCTGTAAGATTCTCCGATAAAATGATTTTTTTAACCTTTTTTTAAAACGTATTGTTTTAATCATTTTATTGGGGGCTCATACAATTCTTATCACAATCCATGCATCAATTGAATCAGGCATGTTTGTACATATGTTGCCTTCATTCTCTTCTAGACATTTATTTTCTACTGAGCACTTGGTACCAGCTCTTTTTTTTCTCCCCGCTCCTCCCCAACCCCCATAGCCCCCCCCCCAATAGATTGTACATTGTTATTATTTTCATCTCTCACACCAGCTGCTGTCTCCCTCCCCCATGTTTTCTGTTCTTCCCCCTGTAAAGGGGTGTATGGTGTGTCATTCGTTGCGATCGGTTCCCCTTCCTCCCTTCCTCTCCCCGTCTTCCCCCTACCATTCCAGCTTCACCATTCCCTCTCCTGGATTCTGTGTGTCATGAGCTCCCATCCCTTTCTATACCTGTGTACATGTTCTGGTCTCGTCTGAACTGGGAAGCAGCACTGGAGTCATGGTAGTGGGGGGTGAGGAAGCCTCAAGGAGCCAGAGGAATATAGTGTGTTTCATCGATGCTTTACTGCACCCTGTTGACTCATCTCCTCCCTGTGGGCCCTCTGTGGGGAGATTGTTCCACTGTCTACAGATGGGCTTTGGATCTCCACTCCAGCCACCCCCACCTCGTTCTCAACAATATGTTTTTGTTTGTTATGTGTCTGCTGATGCCTACTACCTGGTCCCTATGACTCTTCATGATCGCACCAGCAGTGTGCTTCTTCCATGTGGACTTGTTTCACTGCTGAATGGCGGCTTGTGTAACTACAAGCCCTTAAGACCCCAGACGCTATATCTTTTAATAGCCGGGCACCATCCACCCTCTTCACCACATTTGCTTATGCACCTGTTTTGTCTTCAGCGATTGTGTTGGGAAGGTGAACATCTCAGACTGCTGATTGGCTAGAAGAAAGTGTTCTTGTATTGAGGGAGGTATGAACAGGGACCCAAAGTCCATCCTCTACCTCAGTGTATTGCCATATAAACATATGTACATGGGCCAATACCTCTACTTTTGTGGATTAATGTCTTTATATATGTACACCACTATGTTTTTACCTCTATCCATTGCTTTACTTCCTTGGTCCTTCCTCTGTTTCTTTTTATCTTCCCCCTGCCCCACTGCCACTTTCCCCTTATTTCTGCCTGTTGGTACCTCCTCTTAGCTAGTTTGCTGTTGCTCTGACAAACCCCACCCCCCACCCCCACCTCGGATCCCTATCTCCTCCTTGTTATTGACTCCAACACCGCAGTTGTTCCCTTGTCCATGGCTCAGCCTGCTTACCACCCCCTTTCCCCACCACCCTCACCTCCCAGAAAAAAACCTCTTTAAAATGTTAAAGGGCAATGCTGTCACTGTAATGACTAAGGTGTGCCTGACCCAAGCCATGGTATTTCCACCCACTTCTTATTCATGTGAAAGCTGGACAGTGACTATGAAAGACCAGTGGGCACCGAGTATTGAAACACAAGTGCAGCTGGATGTCCCTAGAGTAGGCCGTCATGGTTGAAAAGAGAGGAGGTCAGTCAAAAAGAGGAGGTGGATTGACACAGTGATTACAGTTGACTCAATCGTAGCAGCTGTGTGGATGGGGTACAGGTTTCCTCTGTTGTACACAGGGTCAATATGAGGTAGAGTCAGCCCAATGACACCCAACAACAAAAGTAACGCACGGACAGGAAAACTCACTGTGCCTTAGGATGCATGCCCTTACACCTTTTAAAAATACACCTGCTCCTTAGGTGGAGAGCAAATGTTTTGAGAATGATGAATGTACAGATGTGCTTTATACAATTGATGTATGTATGGATTGTGATAAGAGTTGTATGAGCCCCTAATAAAACGATTAAAAAAATACACCTACAGTATTCCTCACCAACTCACTTGTCATATTTTGCACTTAACATAATAGTAAAAAATTATTCTCCTACTCTTTTATTCATTAATAACAGTAACAGATGCTAAGCAACCAGGCAAGAGTAACACCGGCTGTGATGATTAAAGTTTTTATCATCAACTTGCCTGCTTCTTGATTCTCCGTGACTTGGCAGTTACGTAATGATGTAATGTGGCCAGCATATAATGATGTCATTTGGCATCTTATAATGGTATGGTCATCCTCCATTTCTTATCTGACGTGGCCATCATTTTTTCACAACACCAATTTTTCCATAGCAACCTGGTCTTTGGAATCTGACCTCAATAAGTGAGAAGTAGGTATAAATGGAAAAACCCCAGGCAAGAAATAAGTTTCTACTTACAAATGGGCCATTTGAGATTACACATTAGTACTATTTCTTGCGCTTATGTGCCCTAATTCGCTATTATGACTTTTTATTGTCACTTCTGCTGTACTTTTTAAGAGAGAGGAAAAAAAGATTTACATTTTATACTTTAATATTTTCCAGTTGAAAATGAAGATGAAGCTGAAAGGATTCTTTATTCCTATGGCTATGGTGCTAATGTTCCCACAACAGCCAAAAGACGACTGAAGCAAAGGTAAAAATCAGTCTGTACTTGTTGCACCTCTCATCTGAAACTGAGCCTAATTACCTTGTGCTTTTTGTCAGTGTCTAGTTGAGTGACAGTCGTTGTTCTTGGTATGCATAACTGTTAAATCAGTTGCAAAATAAAACAGAAACAGTCATGTATTTCATGTTTTTAAGTGAGCTTAATGATCAGTAGAGCAGAGGTGTACATTAAAATGTTCCTAGAATTAGATTCAATGCTAAGTGAAGCCATTTTAATTTTGTAGTAGTTTCAAATGAGTTATAATTTTATCGATCAACAATTTTCAACTTAAAATTAATACTTTTTCTTGCTTTTTTTTTGTTCCCCCTAACCCACTTGCCTACATTCCTTGACATATACTTCAGAGGGAGAGAGCTTATTGTACTAGAGGACTTCAGGAAGTTCATAGACAAAATGCAATTGAAAGATAATGGAGTTGTATGAGCCCCTAATAAAATGATTTAAAAAAAAAAAGAAAGATAATGGAGTTTTTCAGCAAACTTTTTGAAGCCTCTCATGTACTGTGATCGAGAGTATACAAAGCTTTGTAAAGACCAAGAAAATTTTTTAATGTTCCACTAGTACCTCGTGAGATACTATAAGTGAAGCACACCAGCAGAAAATTGTACCTGAATTATTAGTTTTCTAGTTGGTTTAAGCGATTCTTTTTCTTATCCCCGTTTCCCCTACCTATAGTTGCTATGTTGATCTTTAACTGTATGCTTTTTGCACAAATTCTCACTTCTCTATTAGCTTCCATACCCAGTTTAAATGTTTCTGCCAGACTTCTAAACACCTCCTAAAGAGGCCCCACCTCTCTAGTCTCATTGGCCTCTGTTCCTAGTAAGAAAGTGCATATATCTCTCTTTATCTGTAAACATCTGTTTTCTGCATACCCCACAATGGAGTACTTATCTCATTTGTAATAGTTTCCCCTGTAATTTCCACAAGTAGATGGAAAGTTCCTCAAGGTCCACACTTGCATGTTATTGTTTATTCACCATTGTCTACCTACCACAGTACAGAATCCAGAAAACCGAACCCACTGCCTTCTAGCTCATTCCACCTCAAGGTTACCCTACAGGACAGAGCTGAACTGCCCCAGTGCGTTTCCAGGGCAATCAATCTTCATGAAAGCAGACTGGCCTATCGTTCTCCCTGAGTGACTGGTGGGCTCTAATCACTGCCCTTTGGTTGTAGTAACCACGCACTTAACCACTGCACCAGCAGGGCTCCTGTACAGTGCAGGATTTCACTGCCCTCCAGTCAGTGCTGACTCAGTGACCCAGGTGGGTTCCGAGACTTTAACTGTTTACAAGAGGAGAAAGCCCAGTCTCTTCCCCAAGGAGCTGCTGGTAATTTTGAACGCGGTTCAGCTATTGGTACAATGTTTTTCATCTGAGTGTTTGAAAATTCAAAGCTGTCTGTTTATCTTTTTATTTTCATATGAATAGATTCATATTTATAAAGACATTATATACTAAGTAAAAATAAATTTTTGAAAAGAACCATACGAACTCTGATACTTTGGTAAAAAAAACTTTGATGGTGCTAACTTCGAGAATAAAATGTCTTTTTTATTTTCAGCCCATAGACACACTTTTGCTTAATGCTTCTTACCAATTTTTAGACTAAATACAAGAGTATTTTGATTTAAAAGATTTCATTCTTTCCAAGGCAAATAACCCTCTCTCCTACAGCTAGCTGGGTTCGGTCTTTCCAAGTCTCCACAGTTATCAGGCAGAGTACACAGTTGCCCGGAGTGGTCGGGTCAAGCTCTTCAGTGCACAGCAGTGCACAGGGCTTTCCTTCAGGAGACCTGCACTCAAGGGACTAGCATGTCTTTTATGCCTTCTTAAAGTGATGTCAAACATCTGGGGCATCTTAGGGGATGAAGCAAAAGGACGCCTAGAGCTCTTATCTTTTGCTGATTAATTATCTGCCCAACAGAGATCAAAAATGGATGACTAAAAAAAATATCAATTTCTAGCTGGAATGATTAATTCTCCTCTTTGAAAGAGCATGCATTCCTGAAGGATGTCGGCATGACTTTAAAACTCAGTGTTAGACCCGTATGGTTTCCAGGCATCCCTGCAGTCCCTGGTGGGAGGGTTCATGCATTGATCCGCAGCTCCACAATCCACAAGCACCAGCCGTCTCACAGGAGAACGATGGCGCTTTCCACCCCTGTGATTGGTGAGTTTCAGAAGCCCACAGGTCCATAGCTACCTTTCCCTATAGGTCACTAGGGGTCAGTTTTTGTTTTGTTTTGCATTCCCTCCAAAGGTCACAAGGAATGGCCTAAAAGATAGTTTGTAATTTTGAGTCAGCCTGGCTCAGTTTTGGTTTTGTTCTGCTTCTGTAAGACCCAACCTAGAGAAGATTGGTGGCATTGTCTTATGGGTATGATAGTTGAGGTACTAAAAGGATGAGGATTGAAGGAAGACATTCATTTCCTTCTTTCTTTTAGCGTCTGAGGATCTTCTCCAAAAGAAGCTCTGTCTCAAGAGAGGGGAAAAGATTTTTCCTTTGTAAGCTGCTTTCTTTCACTCCAAATACTGAGTTCTGCTAAAACTAAAGCAATTATAGTTTTTGTTTTTAAAGCAATTATTGTTATGACTTTATTTTTCTTTTGAATTTCCAAAAACAGAAGTTAGTTTCTTAATATTCAGAGTAAAGATTTAGGGAACCACAACTGATTCATATTCTGAATAACCTGACTGTCCAAATATTTCTAAAGATTCTCTCAGAAGGCTATCTCTGTGACTTGAACAAGTGCCTAATGGGCATGCTATTAATATCACTTGCCAGCTGGTGCAGGCATTCTTCTCGTGGTGACCCAGAGGGCTATTTTGAGGAGGTGCATCTCGGGTCATCTAAACCGAGTGAGGGGAAGTGTAGGTATCTAATGAGGATGTCTTATCTCATTGATACACTCCATCCATTCATTCAGTGACTTTTATTGAGTGCCTACTGCATGCACGAAAGTGAAATTCCCACTTCAGAACCTGATGTCTTTCTGAAGTTTGCAGAGTTCACATTTGTCATTTTAAAAAAATTATTTCATTGGAGTTTATTAAAACTTTTATAACAATCCATCATTCAATTGTATTAAATATACTCGGACATATGTAGCCGTCAACATTTACAAGACATTTTCTTTTTACTTGAACCCTTGGTATCAGCTCCTCTTTTTGGCCCCTCCCTCCCCACCCTTGAACCTTCATGAATCCATTTTTTAATGGACATTTGTAAAAAATGTGAATGGTTTTATGCCCGCTTTGTGTTTAATTTCACAAGAAGACAATATTGCCTTTCAAAGAATCTATATTTAAAGTGACTTCTAAGATACCTCTGAGTAGCAAATGAAATATTTGTATAATATTTCTATTATATATAAGCTGATGCTTATACAAAATATATTGTAATTTCAAAGGAACATATCTCCTATTAACTGTATAACTTTTTTAAATAAAGTGATCAATTCCAATACCTAGCAACCCTATAGAACCACTTGGAGCTGCTCTTTAGGATTTTTGGGGCAATAAATCTTTACCAAAGCAGAAAAGTGTGACTTTCTCCTACAGAGTGGCTAGTGGGTTAAAACTCCTGACAGCTAACATTACAGGGTATAACCTGTACACCACCAGGGTTCCAGACTGTAAATATAGTCTATACATAACAAAATACAGTCTATACATTAAAGCCCGTGTCGTTCACAGACAGAGAAAAAAATGTTAGGATCACTTTTCATTGGATGAGCATTTCTGTTTACAAAAATACTATATGTTCATTCTTGAAAATTATGAAAAACTACTGATAACCCTATCACCCAAAGGTGAACATTCAAAAATTTTCTCAGATATAAATATTTCTTTAGTCTGGTTAAGGTATTGTTATGTACCTGTCATTCCATGGTGCTCACCTTCCCGACACAATCACTGAAGACAAAGCGGGGGCATAAGCAAATGTGGTGAAGAAAGCTGAAAATAAAGCAAGAATTGCTGAAGAATCGCTGTGGTGAAGAATTGCTGAAGACAAAGTGGGTGCATAAGCAAATGTAGCGAAGAAAGCTGATGGTGCCCTGCTATCAAAAGATATAGCATCTGGGGTCTTAAAGGCTTGAAGGTAAACAAGCAACCATCTAGCTGAGAAGCAACAAAGCCCACATAGAAGAAGCAGACCAGCCTCTGTTATCATGAAGTGTCGATAGGATCAGGTATCAAGCATCAAAGACCCAGAACAAAAAATCATATCATTGTGAATGAGGGGGAATGCAGAGTGGAGACCCAAAGCTCATCTGTAGGCAACTGGGCATCCCTGTACAGAAGGGTCGCAGGGAGGAGATGAGCCAGTCAGGGTGGAGTATAGCACCGATGAAACAGACAACTTTCCTCTAGTTCTTTAATGCTTCCTCCCCCTTACTATCATGACCCCAATTCTACCTTACAAATCTGGCTAAACCAGAGTGTGGGAGGAGGTCAGATGCGCAGGCATTCCCTCCCCTGAGGGAATCAGTTGCCAGACTGCTGTCTCATCCCACAGCAGGGTTGTGCCTGCTCCCTGCTGCTGGGGACAATGGCCTACTACTCTCTGAAGCTTGGGACCATTAGCTTGGTTCCTTACACCTTACTGATAAGGGTTCCTATGGAGACCCAGAGACTACCCCCTAGACCACCCTCTCATTGCTGTGTAGCCTATAGTGCAACCCCTCCCTGTGACGTATGTCTCTACCTGTAATTAGTGGGCTGGCATGCCCCCAAAAGGTATATAGACATGAGTCAGCAATATAGGAAAAGACTTCTCGGACCTCTCTGACTCTGAGTTCCTTGCTCCTCACTCCCTGGTTACTCCCCTCTCCCCTGTTTCCCTTACCCTCCTTCCCTTCCCCCTCTCTCCACGTGGACCACCAAGCTGGGCTGAAGTGAGCAATGTTGCTATGTATCATGCCCGACTGTATTATTGTATTATCTCTCATGCTCTCGATG